ATAACGAAAGCGAAGCAAGGAATTTGATAAAGTTCATTTCGCTCTGCCATGAATTATTGTCATGTAAAGATACAGATTTTTATAACCGTTGTAACCTCCATATACTTTCATTATAGAACCGTTTCTGGCGCCACTCTTCTCCTGAAGTTAACGGTGGGTCTCTGATTTCCATTTCCATGCCATCTGCCTAGAGTAATCTATTTGAAAAGCAGAATCGATATTGATCATGTGACAAGCTTGTGCATAATCTCTGTTTTCATCCCGTAGAATGGCACTCATTTATCACCTTGAGAAAAAAGAAAAACAAGTGACCTAACTGGGTTTCGAAACAGTATTATCCTGGTTTTAAATCCAAGGATCTACCGACTGGACAATCCTTTTGTTATACAATCCTTGACGTACTGAAGAAAAAAGTAAATTTAGAACTTTGAAAAGATTCATGGCATATTAAACCAACGCCAGACCTTAGTTGTTCAGAGGAACGTATGAGCAGATCAGACTTAATGGTATTTTCACAACTGTGGTGCTAAATGCATCCCGTATCAGTTGATTCTCTGAAACAGTTTCCTCTTCATTACGAATGATTTCTCAGGACCTGATAGTAAAGTCATTATTAATAAACCATAAACAAAATTAACAACGCAGTTATACAATCTCTCGACCAGAGCCCATTATGTCAGTGCATTACAACAAATTTCACTCCTTTATTTATCGGTGATAACATGAGCGTTCGTTCATTCCGTTTTTAACTGACCTTTCTCTAATCCCGGATTTATTGTAGCCTGAAAATTTTTTTGTTTCGCAGTAACAGAACCCGAGCTAGCAAGATTTTCTGTTTTTGTATAAAGTCGTATATTCTGTCTCGTAAGACCGTCAGAAGTCAAACTCACGAAGTGAAAAAACAGCCTCACTAGTTGATTGCATCTGTGCATCCTCTTGTCACTCATTAATTGTTCAGTTGCGAACTGCTATTCATTCAATTGGACTAGAGCCAAGGGTGCAACCTCTTTGTCTCAAACAAAACGTTTAACTTCGGTTTTTAGAGAGGTCTTCTTAGCCAGAAATGAGGGCGTAAATCACTACCTCTTAGTTTTTGCAAAAATAAACGAAGTCAGTAATTTTCTCAAACAAACCGCTGCATTTTCTTGCGAAAGCTTATAATCTTGACGGAAAGTTTCTTCTGCTTTCATTTCCTGCGTTATTACTGTCAGTAGGCAGAAGATAACTATTACTATTGTCGTTAACATCGCTTGTGTCCCATTAGCGACGGCGAATGAGATAATCTATCTAGGGATCACTAATATCAAAAAAGAAGCCGCGAGCAGTCATCCTGAAGCAATTGCACTCCACCCAATGATATTAATCTACAGTAATGACGCTGGCAACGAGGGAAGTGATGACCATGCCATGTCTCATGCACGTCCTCATTTTGCCTCGTCCACAACTGTACTGTTGTTCTCTCTTACCGTAGCGTGATTTAGACGAAAACACACAGCGACAATTAAAAACGAAAATCAATTACCCGTTAAGCGGATCCGTCTGACACTGCTGGTTAACTGTTCTACAAATGTATGAAAGCGGCAAACTACGTGGAAACGCGTTTTGGAGACATAGTAGCAATCAATATTTTCATTTCCGGTTAAACGTCCTGGAAATTGATTGGAACATCTCTGTTGCAAAACAGCCTTTGCATAGAAACTGCCTATGAAGATACTTCAGAGTACTGCTATGAACTTTATAGAAGAAGGTCGAGAATAAATTTGTTGCTGAAGTTGTATAAAATGCACAGCAGCCAAGTAACGTACAACTCTTCCAAAACCGCATTTAACCCGGCTGCGGCACCATGGTTTCTAAGTACCTGCAGTGCCAGATGCGTCTCTCATCATTTGGTTCGCCAGAGTCACGCTCAGCACTTCAAACACAAGGCCTGCTAATATTAAGAATTAACAACTCCATTAATGCGATTGTTTTATTACCCAGTTTGCTGGTTTTAGAAACGTATATTACTGAACAAATTCTCCGTTTTACCAATTTTCTGATTTTACCCATAAAACATCGTCTGAATCATGAATTGAAATTATCTTCGATCCTCACGATGAGTCATACTCTGATTAGAAGAAAGACGACGAGATGAAAAGATTTTATCATGGGAAAGTTTCAGCAAGATGACGTTGCGGAATCTACCGAATTTAAATCAGCCCTAAGCTAACCAACAACGCAGGCATGGCTGCTAGTAGGATATAGTTTCGACTGGCTCACTGATCCTCTTCGGTTGACGTACTGGCGGGCTACCGTTATTTTTCAGTACTGTCTCTTAGATAAACTTCGCCAACTTGTCTCTGTGTAAAAGTACTTTACGCGATAGCCCTGTGCTTGTGTAAACTTGCTTCCGTGGACCGTGACCGACTTAGATCTATCACTGGCAGGGGTTACAAAGAGTGATAGCACGTGCGTGACTCCGATGAAAACGTCTGGCAGGCAAGTCGAAGCGTCTTACGTGTCTTACTGCTCACACTGCGTCTTTGTAAAATAAAGCTTTGACATAACGAAACAAGACAGTTTTTGAAATTTAAATTTACCATACTTTTAGGTATTTATCGACTTTCTGAATTTATATATAAGTTTATTTTGAATGCATGATTTCGATGCTTTGGTCAGTCACAAACGAAAAGGCAATTTTAAAAATATTCTTTAATTAAGGCCATCTGACGTTTGGGGCCAAGCTTGGTCCATTTTCATTTATATTGTTTTATTTCTGTATATATTTTATTCCTTT